TTTGTTACCTTTCTTGTGGAGAGGTATCACTTTTGAATATTTGAATATGTTAGGAAAATTACCTGATTTAAAGATTAGATTTATCAAATTGGTAAATGGGACAAGAATAATATCCTGAGTTTCCTTAATAATTCGACTATTTATTCCATTGATTTCCGGACAAGCTGAATTTTTCAAAGATGTAATGATTTTTTGTACTTCATCACATGTAAGAGGAGTTAAAAAGAATGAGAGGCAGGAGAGGGAAAATTTCTAAAGTTCACCAATTCAGAGATAGGTAGATTAGGTAGAGATTTTACGATATTGGCCGCTATACTTGAGAAAAAATTTGAAGTCATTTTCAGTTAATTTCTTTGAGAAACACCTTTGTTTAGTCTTCTTTCTGTACACCATTAGTACACTTCATTAGTAGACCAAACAGTGCATCACAAATCTATATTGTTGTCTGTAATGAAGTGATTCTTCGTATAATCAAGATTGAACTTCCTTATAGATGAGTTATTCAATCTTGATTTTCATTTCAGAAATTATAAGTTTAGTGGGTGACATGCATAATTGTTTGAATGAGATGATAACACGATTCCATGTCAGAGACAACCAACTGCCAGGGGAGAATATTACCGGAAGTCCTCTTAAGTTATGTTTCATTGTGAAGCAGTCAATAAGAGATGCTGCAGTAGGTGAGTAAATTCATTTTCTTGACTAGCAGGAAAGCTAGAATCAAAATGTGTTCTATTAACCAATAATAAAAAATCTCTCGTAATTCAAATATGCCTATGTATTTATATATTTTTTTCACAAACACAGCTGGTGCAAAGTTATTACTTCTCTGTGATGTTTTTTCAAAGAGGAAGAAGGAGTTGACGAGATATGAAAGGCACGAAATAATCCGTTATGCAAAGTCAAGGTTTCCAGTATTTTTAACACAACTCACAAGATTCACCAAAGTTTTGAAAAATACTCTCAATTCCTTGTCACCTGCCCAGAGGATGGATATTGCTACATTTTTAGTACCAGAGGTAAATAAATATTATAGTTTTTTTTTATATTTGACCTTCCTAACTTTGACGTTCATGAATTGTATTTGATGTGATGAAAACTTTTTCTACTGAAGGGTCGAAAGTAAAATATAGAAATTATGTTTATAGGTGAATTTACTGTCTATCAATTGAGGTTGAAAATTGTCAACT